AGTGTACCAACACTAGTTATGACATTATTATTGACACCACTCATTAATTACATTACAAATACTAAAAACCTCTTAAATTATGTCACATCATCAATTAGTACACTAATTGGTATATATAACATTATTCTATTTTTTTTATTCTTTATCTAATGTGAGACTCTACTTTCACACATATTTTTTAACAATGTCGGTAAAACTGTTTGGGATGAACTAAAAAAACCACCTCTTTTTTTAATTTTTTTTTATCTGTATGTTTTTTTAAATTATGTCAAAAAATTTTACTTTTCCAATCGGTTTTGTATGGACGAATCTAAAAAGTAAATTTTTTGAAAAATTCTAAAAGAAATTAAAAAATTAGCCATCGGTTGAGAATGCTCTTAAGTGATGAACTTGTATGTATATTAAGACTTTTTGAGTGGTTCTACATGAATCAATTAGTATACTAACTAGTGTACCAACACTAGTTATGATATTATTATTGACACCACTCATTAATTACATTACAAATATTAAAAACTTCTTAAATTATGTCACATCATCAATTAGTACACTAGCATTTTTCTTAAAAAACAGGTTCTTTAAGACAAAAAGAAAACTCGTAGAAATCAAACTACCTGCCTAAATAAGGGACCATAGCATTTTTCTTAAAAAACAGGTTCTTTAAGACAAAAAGAAAACTCGTAGAAATCAAACTACCTGCCTAAATAAGGGACCATAGCATTTTTCTTAAAAAACAGGTTCTTTAAGACAAAAAGAAAACTCGTAGAAATCAAACTACCTGCCTAAATAAGGGACCATAGCATTTTTCTTAAAAAACAGGTTCTTTAAGACAAAAAGAAAACTCGTAGAAATCAAACTACCTGCCTAAATAAGGGACCATAGCATTTTTCTTAAAAAACAGGTTCTTTAAGACAAAAAGAAAACTCGTAGAAATCAAACTACCTGCCTAAATAAGGGACCATAGCATTTTTCTTAAAAAACAGGTTCTTTAAGACAAAAAGAAAACTCGTAGAAATCAAACTACCTGCCTAAATAAGGGACCATAGCATTTTTCTTAAAAAACAGGTTCTTTAAGACAAAAAGAAAACTCGTAGAAATCAAACTACCTGCCTAAATAAGGGACCATAGCATTTTTCTTAAAAAACAGGTTCTTTAAGACAAAAAGAAAACTCGTAGAAATCAAACTACCTGCCTAAATAAGGGACCATAGCATTTTTCTTAAAAAACAGGTTCTTTAAGACAAAAAGAAAACTCGTAGAAATCAAACTACCTGCCTAAATAAGGGACCATAGCATTTTTCTTAAAAAACAGGTTCTTTAAGACAAAAAGAAAACTCGTAGAAATCAAACTACCTGCCTAAATAAGGGACCATAGCATTTTTCTTAAAAAACAGGTTCTTTAAGACAAAAAGAAAACTCGTAGAAATCAAACTACCTGCCTAAATAAGGGACCATAGCATTTTTCTTAAAAAACAGGTTCTTTAAGACAAAAAGAAAACTCGTAGAAATCAAACTACCTGCCTAAATAAGGGACCATAGCATTTTTCTTAAAAAACAGGTTCTTTAAGACAAAAAGAAAACTCGTAGAAATCAAACTACCTGCCTAAATAAGGGACCATAGCATTTTTCTTAAAAAACAGGTTCTTTAAGACAAAAAGAAAACTCGTAGAAATCAAACTACCTGCCTAAATAAGGGATCAGTTGGGGGTGATTTTTTTTGACAAAAAAAACTCCTTATTTTGGCTAAAAGGCATGGTTGGGAATGGCTCTTAAGTGATGAACTCGTATGTATATTAAGACTTTTTCGGTGATTCTACATGAACCAATTAGTATATTAACTAGTGTACCAACACTAGTTATGATATTATTATTGACACCACTCATTAATTACATTACAAATATTAAAAACTTCTTAAATTATGTCACATCATCAATTAGTACACTAATTGGTATATATAACATTATTCTATTTTTTTTTATTCTTTATCTAATGTGAGACTCTACTTTCACACATAGTTTTTAACAATGTTGGTAAAACTGTTTGGGATAAGCTAAAAAAATCACCTCTTTTTTTATTTTTTTTTATCTGTATGTTTTTTTAAAATTATGTCAAAAAATTTTACTTTTCCAATTGGTTTTGTATGGACGAATCTAAAAAGAAAATTTTTTGAAAAATTCTAAAAGAAATTAAAAAATTAGCCATCGGTTGAGAATGCTCTTAAGTGATGAACTTGTATGTATATTAAGACTTATTCTTTTCGGTGGTGCTATATGTACCAATTAGTATACTAACTAATGTACCAATACTAATTATGACATTATTATTGACCTCACTCATTAATTACATTACAAATACCAAAAATCTCTTAAATTATATCACATCATCAATTAGTACACTAGTTAGTACACTAATTGATATAAATAACATTATTCTATTCTTTTTACTCTTTATCTAATGTGAGACTTTACTTTCACACATATTTTTTAACAATGTTGGTAAAACTGTTTGAGATGAGCTATAAAAGCCACCTCTTTTTTCTTTTTCTTTTTTATCTGTATTTTTTTTATAAAAAAAATTATGTCAAAAAATTTTACTTTTTCCAATCGGTCTTGTATGGACGAATCTAAAAAGTAAATTTTTTGAAAAATTCTAAAAGAAATTAAAAAATTCCTAAATAAGTATAAAAATAAAAATAAAAACACTGTTTTTAGCTTATTTTTATCTTTTCTAAATATTTAAAAACGAAAATAAACAAATATATATATATATATATATATCTCCAAATACACAAACTCCAAATAGCCACGAGTTTTGTTAACTTGGGGACTTAGGAAAGATACAATGCATTTATGTTGATTGTGTACAAACACTAACAAGAACGACACCAATTAGACTGGGTAGTTAAGTTATTTTATACGGATTTAATAAGTCGTTTGAAAAAATATTCAACTTGTTTGGTTTCGTTTTTTTAAAATAGTTTTCAGAAAATTTTACGTTTTTATTTTCTGTATTTTTTTGTTTTTATTGAATTTTTTAATATTTTAAGCAATTTTTTTTAATTTTTAGACACACTTAACATAAATACACAAAAAGTATAATTTTTGTAAAAAAATCTTTTAAAAATTCAATAAATACCAAAAATACAAAAAAAAAAAAAAAAAACAAAACAAAACAAAAATTTAGTATGTTTTTCGTATTTTTATGTATTTGTTAATTTTTTAAAATATTTTTTCACAAATTTTTTACTTTTTAGATACGTCTAAGTAAAATACATCTAAAAAAGTTTTAAAAATGCTGAAAATTTTAAAAATATTCACTAAAAACAAAAAAAATATGAAAAACAAAAAACTCAATTTTCAAAAAACTTAATCCAGAAAACTCAAACCAAGCACACTGATTGTCTTCCAAAGTATAAATATTGACAAATCTTAAAAAATAAATAAATATTGAGAAAATATTGAAAAAAAAAAACAAAATTTTTTAAATTGAAGTTAAATAATGAGCGAATAAATTTTTTCAACCAGTCCTCTGTTTTGTCAACAAAGCCTTTCCTATTTTTTCTAGAAGCCCATTAATTTTTTTTTAAGAGAAGGAAGCCCATTGTTATTTTGGGCTCTATTGCCTTAAAGCTTTCCAGACTGCAGGATTAGATGATGGCCTCTGACCAACAAGGGCTAGTATATTTATTGTGCACTAGATGGGCTTCTGCAGCATTTTTTTATAAACAAAAAACAAAAAAAACAAAGTTCATTGTGTCACTGTTGAGGAACCTCATAATGGTCCATAATTTAGACGTGTTGTCCAAACACGTGAGGTAAATCACGGTTCTATTTTAATAATTCTAATTATTTATTTTGTTAGATTTTTTGTGTATATTATTAAAAAAAATTAAGTTGATTTGATAATTATAATCTATTTATTATCGCATTTGTGTAAAAAAAAACATGGACAACAAATTTGTTTTTAGAAATAAGCTATTTATTTTTTGGTGACAAATGTAATAATTTGAATAGGTTATGATTATCAAATCGACTTAATTTTGTATGAATCATATACACAAAACAAATGACACAACAAAACAAACGGTTTAGATTATGAAAATCGGGCTTGTAGTGAATTCTACAAGTTTGGACAACAGTTTATAGAGGAAAGTCTAGACCATGTTCGTTTCCTTTTAAGAAAGTTTATGGCACTAGAAAAGTGTATAGAAAATTTGAGAATTTTAGAGCAATAATGTATATTGAAAGTTAGAATTGTGAAGCCACACTTTAAGTAAATCTTAATCATTAATTTTAAATTTCTTAAAAATCTTTTGTTATGAAATTATAGCATTGTTGTTGCCCATTTTAAATATATTAGGAGGATTCAGTCATAATCTGAATTGGAGGGTTTTGTTTGAGCCCACGGGGCTCACCACAAATCTCGTTCAATGATTCGATCTATTCATTTTTTCAGGCATTTCATGTATTTCATTCACACACAAAATTAGATTGATCCAATTATTGTAACCTAATCAATTTATCGTGTTTGTCACACACACACACATACACACAAAAAAAAGAACAAGAACAAGAACAAGACAATAATTGTGTTTGTAGAAATAAATATCTATTTTTTTAGTGATAAACATAATAAATTGAACAAATTATAATTATCAAATCGATTTAATTTTTTTGTGAATAAAATATATAAAATGTTCGACAAAATAAACTATTCAAATTATCAAAATAAGACATATGATAAGTTCTACTAGTCCAAACAATGTCATCCAATCTACAGTGTATTGGAGGGGAGCTGCCTCCTTTATATTAAGGCCAAGTTTGGAAAGACTAAATAAGTGCACTTTTTGACTTTTTATGAAATATGGGTTGGATTTGGATTGAGTTTGAAGTGATGTGTTAGAGAGGTGATGTGACTTAAATAAAATGATGTGACTTAAATAGGATAGTGACTTTTTGACTTTTTGAATTTTTTAAAGGATGCCAAACTTGGCCTAAGTTGTAATTCGAAGTAGAGAACATAAAGTGACTTCATATTTGTATGAAGGAGACGTGTAAAGCCTTATAGTCATGAGCACCCGACCTCTCATCCTATCCAACACTTGATGCTGTAATCAAATGAAAGAAGCCTCCAAACTCTATACTGATTAATCCTACCGACATAAACTTGTTTTCTTTTACTCTTAACGCAACACACAACTTCAATCACCCTGCCTACTTCGTTGTTTTAACCCATTGCTAAGCAAACTCACTACCACCTATCTGCTTTAGCTTCATCACCATCATCAACACCCCATCTCTCTCTCTCTCTCTCTCTCTCTCTCTCTCTCTCTCTCTCTCTGTCTCTCTGTGTACCTGAAACAAGATAGCTAGGATATATGAATGTTCTCTTGCACCTGAAAATGTACCTTCTTACCTAATTTCATACTCACTTCCCATCTCAACCCCACACTCCATAAAACCCCCTAATTCCCTTCCATCCTTCACCACCACAACCTCTACTACTCTCTTCTTCACTTTCCCCACTTCAAACCAGTACTAGTAAGTAATTACATTACCAACAAAAACTCCATAAAAATGTTGAACCACCTTCTACTCATTATCACCTTCCTCTGCTTCCCCACAGCTTTTGCTCAGTCTCCAGCACCGCCTCCACAACCTCCAGCAGCTACTCAGTCTCCAGCACAACCTCCCCAAGTCCCAGCCACTCAGTCTCCACGACCATCAGCACTAGCTCCACAAGTCCCACTAGTCCAGTCTCCACCCGCACAACTGGCACCAGGTCCTGCCCCACCAGGCCCACCCAACATCACCGCCATCCTCGAAAAGGCCGGTCACTTCTCTACATACATTCGGCTACTAAAGGCCACCCAGATTGACAACCAAATCTACAAACTCCTCAATGACTCCAGCCAAAGCCTAACTGTGTTCGCCCCATCTGACAATGCCTTCGGCAACCTGTCAACTGGTACTCTCAACTCCTTCTCAGACGAACAAAAGGTCCAGCTGGTGAAATTCCACGTCATCCCATCTTTCCTTTCGGTTCCTGCATTCCAAACAGTGAGCAATCCGTTGAGCACGCAGGCTGGAAGTACTGTTCAGTACCCGATGAATGTGACCACGGCCGGGAATCTGGTGAACATCAGTACCGGGATTGTTAACACCACAGTGACTGGCACGGTGTATTCCGATAACCAGCTGGCGGTGTATCAGGTGGACCGAGTGCTGCTTCCGTTGTCCTTTTTTGTCTCTCTATCACCAGCTCCCGCACCATCAAAGCCTGAAAAGAAGGCTCCGTCTCTGGCAGGCGACGAGTCCACTACTAGTACCGATACGTCGGTTCAGGCTTCCGGTGCAATGCCGGTGAATCACCACCCTGCACTCAATGTTGCAGTGTGCTTCGCAGGTTTTCTTATTGCAGCATTGTGTTTGTCTTTGAGTTGAGAGCTTGTCTTTGAGTTGAGAGATTGTTGATGATGATTTGATTTGTACCAATTTTTACTTAAATAATTCTTTTGGCTAAACACTGTCCTTGCAGCACCATATGCTTCTCTTCATGTATAAAAGCACTGCAAACCTCTATCTAATAATATGAAGTAACAACAATTCTAGTTACTCATAAAATTTAATCAAAACTTTAATCAGAAAAGTAGAACGTAGGATATAGATTCGAAGTTAGTGTTATGTATCATAACTAAAATGAATTTTCTGAACATATTTTAATTCTAAGTGAAATTGGGGGTAAATAAAAGAAACCATGATGTCATTTTACAAGTAGTTTGCAGGTTTTTAGAGAGACTTCACCAATTTTTCTCCTCCTTATCCCACCCCTTTGGCATTACACAAACTCAATCCACCAATATGACCATAGGGGATAAAAGAGCAACAGAAAAAAAAAAGCAACAATCGGTGACGACCTTCAATAAACCGCTCCTCTAGCTTCTACCACTTCCAACTTAACCCACTCTTCCTAGTAGAATTAACCTTGGCTTTTTTTGAGAACTAGCTAAAAAGTTAGTTTATTAACTAAAAATAAGCTAATAAAAAAGTTAGTACTGAGAAAAGCGGGTTAATTAGCGTCTTACTTTTCTAACCACTTTTTATTGTGGCTAATGTTGACTTTTTCATGAGAAACGAGTATTGCAAAATAGATTTTTTTTTTTTTAAACCAATCAATTCCCTTTTAGAGGTGGCCAAAGGAAACAAAAGAAACTATGTGCTTTACAGCCTCATTCTCAAATTCTTTGCACTCAGACTTCTGACCTTCTTCATAACCCACTCTCATACCTCAAACCTTTTGCCCAAATCTCAAGACAGACCACCTTCCTGAAAATTACCCACCTTTTGGTTGATTCTCCCCTCCACCTCCTCGTGACCCACCAACTCCTTACAGTGTCATCTCCAACTTAGAGTGCCTGCATCTCTTACCATGAAGAATCTTAAATGCAACATTGATCAGTCATCATCAACATCTTTTCATCCTTAAAATGACTTGACATATGAATAAATCAAATATGAATGTTTTTTCATCAAGAAAATTCATGATGAGAAAGTGCTAAAACTAACACAATGTTCCTTAGAATCATAATATTTATACCGCATTTTATTGCGGTACTATTTGTGGGATAAAGAGTGAGGGGATAATTGGGCCACCAAATTATTTTGTCCATTGTTTGTTTGTGGGATAAGCAGAAGGGATAAGGGGTAGGAAACATCTGGGTCTCACATGTTTTTAGTTCAATGTTTGTTTTACATGGTATTAACTCTGGATAACTTTATCCCATGATATAACTTATCTTGTAAAATCTTATGATAATCTTTCGTCTTATCTAATCCCATAATATAACTTATCTCTCACAATCCTATCATATCTAATCCCATTAAAAACATTTGAAAATCAAAGGCTTAGGATAATTAAGGTCTTCCCTATTATTAACACAACCATCTTTGTTATATTGTTGTGCTCCAACAAGCTTCTTCCCCACATCTTGTAAATGTTGTCTCAATAACACTGAATAGACTACAAAAAAAACACAAACATTCAATAATTCACAAAAGCAGAAGATTGCTCATTAGAATTTCAAATTTTAAGGTACAAAAAAAAAAAAAAGAATTATCATCCCTGGAATTCAACCCAATAGTCAATTCATGTCCATCCTCAGCATCTGGATCAAATGCATGGCAAGGACCCGAACTACTAAAATTTATAGACTTTATAGGATCCTACATTGAACAACAAACTTCTCGAATTGAATCCAGAATTTGATTTTTGGAAAGAGGGTTGACAAAAAATATTAATCAAAATATAAATAAAACAAACTACCAGAGAGCAAAATAATCAAAGTGAACCAGAATATGCTTTAATTTTGCTATAAAAAAAGGGAGTCATTTTATCAAACAGGTATTGAGCAAAGCACAAGGAACAACTACCTGAGTGAGAACAAAATAATCAAAATGAACCAATGACAAGAAGTAGAGTTGATAGCGAAAATTGGGAATGGCTATCCAATGGGTATGAACTGATTTCTTTGAAATTGAATTTGCAGAGATGGTAATTTGGATTAAAAAAATTTTTAAAAAAAAACAAAAAAAATAAAGAAAAAATGTAGAAATCAAACTACCTGCCTGAGTGACGGGTCTTGTCGTACTGGAATTTGTAACTGCCTTACGGGGTTTTGAAATAGGCCTTCAGATCTTACTATAACTGATATTTTATTAACGGTTATTTACACATACCCCTGTACAAATAACAAGTATTTTTTTTGACTCTTTAAATTTTAAAAGTTTATAAATAAAATTTTAAATTATTTTGATGTATCATTTTATCTCTTAAAATATAAAAGTAAACAAATAGATTCATTAAATTATTGGCATGTTTTATTTTGACCCTTCAATTAGGGGTTCAATTTGTACATTTTTATAATTTATGAAATTCATTTATATATATATATATATATTTTTTAATTTAAGGAGTTAAAGTGACACTTTTCAATAATTTAGAGGCTCCATTTATATATTTTTATAATTTAATGGGTCAAAGTAATATTTCTCAATAATATAGAAATTCTTCTGGTAAATAACTCTAATATTTTCTTACCTTCTTTTTTAAGGGAAATTTGGCTATAAACCCTTTTTACCTTCCTTTCATTGTTAAAAAGACTAAAAAAAAAATTATACTTTCTAAACCCCCTCATAATTATAAAGTCTTGCATAAAGGATAAAATTTATTATTTAAATATTTTATCATACTATTATACCCTCAACTAAATCTTCTCACCTTCTCCACTCACTCTCCTCTCACCTTCTCTGTCTCTCTCCTCTCCCTCTAAACACAACTTCTCTTCATAGCCATGTCAGAGGCCACCTCAGCTGTCGGAGCACCGTCCACCGACCACCAACTGCCATGTACAAATGTCAGTCAGACTTCCAACCGCATCCAATGTATTCCGACCACCAACCGCCGTGTACCTTTCAATGTATCTCGCCGCCACCCCATCCTTCGCATCCAATGTCAATCAAGACTTCCATTTCTCTTCTGGAAACCCTAGAATTGAATAAACCAGAGGCGGTACTCCAGGAGGTGGCGATGGAGTTTGAACGACTTGAGATCTTAAAGAACTCAAGTTGCACGTCGTCAGCGCCATAACAGCAACTCAAGCTATTGGTGTGGTTTTCAGAGTCGGTAAAGAGAAGGAAATACCTTGCTTAGTCATAAGTCTCTCTCTTGGTAGGTAGCATCTTCTCTTTCTTGACACAAACACATAATACACACACATAGAGAAAGAAAGATGGTGTTGAGATTGCAAACATGGATGATTTTGTAGAAGATTGAATTTTGGTATTCATCGATTTTTTTTTTTTAATCTGGCTAGTTGTTAATCTAATTTTTTTATTTGTTGTTGTTGACTGGAACATATAAAAGTTGTTAGAAAGAGAAACTAAGAGAGAAAACTTAGATTATGATCTGTATAATTTCAACAGATAAATGTTGATGTAGAGTAAATTTGACTCTGATTCATTCATTTAGTATGTATTTTATTGTTTGTAACAGTAAAATTTTATTCTGGTTAAAAACATGTTAATTAGCTTAACAACACAAAATTTTACTTTGAATCAGAGTGAAATTTACTATGATTCAAAGTAAAATTTTACTCTGATTAAAAACATGTTGATTTGCTTTACGATATAAAATTTTACTTTGAATCATAGTAAACTTTACTCTAATTCAGAATAAAAATTTTACTCTGAAATACACTGTGAGGATGGTTTAATAAGAGAGCTGATAAAGATGAGGGTAAAATAGTAAAAGAAACAAATTTTAAAATATTATGGGATTTTGAAAGTACTTATCCTTTTGAAAAGTAAATTAAACAGTGAAGGGTTTATCATCAAATCCCCCTTTTTAAAATCTCTTTTTAAAATCTTATTCAAATTATGTTCTAAGCGCTGTCTAAGGGTTAATGATTGACTTTGGTAGTGATAGTCAATGGCATCAACGGTGGGGACAACTCTCGCTCCCTCATGCGGCATTTGTTAGAAATTAGGAAGTCTATAAACGCGCAAGGATATCAACTCAATTTGTTGACGAAAACTTTATAGTCCACACACAGTGTAGGCTATTTGAAACTCATACTCATTTGAAAATGTAAGCTTTTAAGTGAAAAATCATATATATATATATATATATATATTTATGTATATTAATATTTAATTTTTTTTATTTTTTATCTGAGACTTTACCTTAAGTTGAGATTCATTTCAACTTTGAACAATTGGGGACTTCTGAGAAAAGTTACAGTACTTTTTTGTTGATTGTATACCAGCACTAACGAAAGGCACCTGTTAGACTGAGTAATTATGTTATTTCCATATGAATTTAATATGTTTTGTGAAAAAATATTGAGAAAATATTTTCTTTTATTTAAACATAATTTTTTAAATTTTAAGTTAAATAATGTGCGAATAAATTTTGTAACCAGGCCCTCTGTTTAGTTAAACCAGCTGATATTTCTTAAAGTCAACTGGCGATGGTTCATATGGTTTTCAACAAAGCCTTTCCTATTTTTGGTAGAAGCCCAGCCCAATGTAATTTTGTGCTCTATTTGACTTGAAGCTTCCCATACTGCGGGATTTGAAGATGGGACTCTGACCAACAAGGGTTTCTATATTTCTTGTGCTCTAGATGGGCTTCTGCAGCATTTTTGAAAAAAACAAAAATTATCTTGTCACTGTTGAGGAAGTTCATAATGGTTCATGATTTATATCAGAGGGTCCTGTCTAGGCCCGCGAACCAAATCACGGGCTGTGTTTTGATAATTTAAATCGTTTATTTTATTAGATCTTTTATATATCTTCGTATATCAGATAATTGTAATATATTTAATTTATCACATTTATGTCCCCCCAAAAAAATAAACGACAAATGTGTTTGTAAAAGTAAACCATCTATTTATTATTATTATTTTTTTTTTTAACAAAAGTAATAAATTAAATATGTTATGATTATCGCATCGAGTTAATTTTGTGTGTAAATCATATACACAAAAGACACTACACAATGAATAGTTTAGATTATGAAAACAAGACTTATGGTGAGCTTCGCATACATGGACAATATACCTTCCAATCCAAATCATAGACAGAAGAGAAGCTCAGGCCTTGTTCTTTTTCTATTTAGAAAGTTTATAGCATCATCAATTTTAGAACAGTGATATGTATTGAAAGTTCGTATTGTGTAGCCACATTCTAGCGCTATGTTTGGTTGGGAGATTTGGGAAGGGATTTGGAAAGGAAAAGAAAAAATGTGTGTGAAACTATGTGAAATGTATGTATATTTTTTTCATATTTCACCTACTTTTTTCATTTCCCTTTCCAAATCTCTTCTCAAATCCCTCAACCAAACACAATATAAATGAATTGTAATTATTAAATTGAAGTTCTAAACTTTTCTAAATTTTTTATTTCTGAAATTGTAACATTGTTGCCTATTTTATATGAACTTGTAATTCGAAGTACAAAACATAAAGTGACTTTATATTTGTATGAAGGAGACTTGTAAAGCCATAGCCATAATCACCTGACCTCTCACCCCATCCCCAACTTTATGCTGTAATCAGATGAAAGAAGTCTCCAAACCCCAAACTGATTAACCCTACATAAACTTGTTTTTTTTAACTCTAACGCAACACAACTTCCAATCATCCTCTTTCAGCTTCAGCACCATCATCAACACCCCACTTTTCTCTCTCTCTCTCTCTCTGTACCTGAAAACAAGACAGCTAGGATATATGAATGTTCTCTTCCCACCTTAAAAATACAGCCTCTTACCTAACTTCACAATTCACTTCCCATCTCACCTCCCACTCCATAAAACCCCCAATTCCATCCCAAGTTTCACCACTGCTCTCTCCTTCACTTTCCCACTTCAAACCAGTACTAGTAAGTCATTACATTACCAACAAAAACTCCATTAAAATGTTGAACCACCTTCGACTCATTATCACCTTCCTCTGCTTCTCCACAGCTTTTGCTCAGTCTCCAGCACTACCTCCACAACCTCCAGCAGCTACTCAGTCTCCAGCACAACCTCCCCAAGTCCCTGCCACCCAGTCTCCGCCACCAGCACTAGCTCCACAAGTCCCACTAGTCCAGTCTCCACCTGCACAACTGGCACCAGGTCCAGCCCCACCAGGCCCACCCAACATCACCGCCATCCTCGAAAAGGCCGGTCACTTCTCTACATACATTCGGCTACTAAAGGCCACCCAGATTGACAACCAAATCTACAAACTCCTCAACGATTCCAGCCAGAGCCTAACCATGTTCGCCCCATCTGACAATGCCTTCGGCAACCTTTCAACCGGTACTCTGAACTCGTTCTCAGACGAGCAAAAGGTCCAGCTGGTGAAATTCCACATCATCCCATCTTTCCTTTCGGTTCCTGCATTCCAAACAGTGAGCAATCCGTTGAGCACACAGGCTGGAAGTACTGTTCAGTACCCGATGAATGTGACCACGGCCGGGAATCTGGTGAACATCAGTACTGGGATTGTTAACACCACAGTGACTGGCACGGTATATTCCGATAACCAGCTGGCAGTGTATCAGGTGGACCGAGTGCTGCTTCCATTGTCCTTTTTTGTCGCTATATCACCTGCTCCGGCACCATCAAAGCCTGAGAAGAAGGCTCCATCTCCGGCAGGCGATCAGTCCACTACTAGTACTGATACGTCAGTTCAGGCTTCTGGTGCAATGTCGGTGACTCACCACTGTGCACTCAATGTTGCAGTGTGCTTTGCAGGTTTTCTTATTGCAGCAATGTGTTTGTGTCTTTGAGTTGAGAGATTGTTGATGATGATTGTGTTTGATTTGTGTAAAAGTTTTTACTTAAATAATTCTTTTGTCTAAACACTGTCTAAACACTCTTCTTGCAACACCATATGCTTCTCTTCATGTTGCTTAAAAACACTGCAAACCTCTATCTAATAGTATGAAGTAACAATAATTCTAGTTACTCTCAAAATTTCATCAAAATTTTTATCAGAAAAGTAGAATCGTATGGGTATAGATTTTAAGTTAGTGTTGTGTATCAAACCTAAAATAAATTTTATGGACACATTTTAATTCTAAGTGAAATTGCGGGTAAAGAAAAGAAACCATCATATCATTTTACAATAGTAGTTTGCAGGTTTACAGAGAGAATTCACCAATTTGTCCCCTCCTCATCCCCACCACTTTGGCATTACACAAACTCAATCCTTCAATGTGACCATATATAGGGGATAAAGATCAACAGAAAAAACAACAATAGATGACGCCCTTCAATAAACCCCTCCTCTCGCTTGTACCACTTCCAACTTAGTTACTCCCACTCTTCCTAGCAAAATTAGCCTCGGCTTTCTTTGAGAATAAGCTAAAAAGCTAATTTATTAACTAAATATAAGCCACCAAAAAAAGTTAATTTTAAGAAAAGTAAGTTAATTGGTATATTCCTAGCGTGTTGGCTTTTCTAATAACTTTTTAGAGTGGTTGAAGTTGACTTTTTAATGAGAAACTAGGATGGCAAAATAGATTTGTTTTAAACAATCAACTGGCTTTTAGAGGTGGCCAAAGGAAACAATAGAAGTCGTGTGCTTTGTAGCCTCATTCTCAAATCCTTTGCATTCTGACCCTCTTCATAACGCACAGACCTTTTGCCTAAACCTCAAGACAGACCACCTTCCTGAAAATTACCCACCCTTTGGTTGATTCTCCCTGTGAGAATATGTGTTCTTCTCGGATTAGGATTAAGTGTCCTATGTCTATTAGACTTCTATATATTTCAGTAATGTATTCATGTAGGGTTAGGAATTTATTTCAGTAATGTATTCATGTAGGGTTAGGAATTAATTAGTGGTACTCTATATAAATGATGTATGTATTCTTTGTTCATATTAATTCAAGACTAATATACAGTTTTGTTCAGAAAACTTACAACCTATACTGACATATTTGCCTTTTGTGATTATTGAAATGTTGGTATTGGTATTAAGAAATTGCCATTTATACTTTTTCTGCAGTGGTGGAAGACATATACAGGCGAAGGCAGCCATTGCCCACCATGGATGCCATATACTTCATCCAGCCTACTAAAGAAAAGTAATAGTTTCTTTCTAATTTTCTATACATATGATTTTGATTATTTGTACCTAAATTTCATCCAAGCTGTTTGGGTTTGGTTGGTGAACAATAGCGGCTCATCGTGTCTCCGTCTTGGTCGACTCTTGTGGTCGTCTCTTTGTGGTCGCCTCTATGCTTCGTGATCTCTGTCTGAGATCTTCGCGAGCTCCGTCTGAAATCAATCTCAGCTTCAGTCTCTCTCTCTCTCTCTCTCTGCTTCGCGATCTCTACTTCAACTTGGGTATTTCCATTTAAAACCCTTATTCCTGTTTGGCCCATTTATTAAGTTATTAGTATATTTTGACCCATTAATCTTTTGTTTATTACAATAATGGACTCTAAAATTCAAGCGATTAAATGTAAACTCAATGGTGGTAATTATGCCTATTGGGCCAGTGTTATGAAGAATTTTCTTCTTGGTCAAAAAAAATGGGGCTATGTTTCTGGTTCTGCTCCTCGTCCATCGGACCCAAAGGTAGAAGGGTATCTGTCTTCCTGTGACACTTGGGATTGTGATAATGCCCAAGTTCTTACCTGGTTTCACAACTCTGTAGATGACCGTATTGGAATGATGTTTTCCAAGTACAGTACTGCCAAGGAAGTGTGGGATTATTTACTCGGTGTTTATCAGCAGTCCAATTTTGCCAAACGGTATGAGTTGGAAACAACTATTCAGGGTGCTCGCCAGCGGGATCAAACTATTCAAGACTTTTATATTGAGATGACAGGTCTCTGGGATCAGTTGGCTCTTATGGAACCACCTAGTCTCAAAATATTAGACGCTTATATTGAGTTTCGGGAACAGGGTCGTTTAGTCCAGTTCTTAACAGCTCTCTCCCCTCAGTATGAGGCTATTCGAGGTGGCATCCTTCACCGATCTCCTCTTCCCTCTGTGGATGCTATTGTTCGTGAACTCCTTTCTGAGGAAACCCGTCTTAAGACGGCCAGTCAGACTTTGCCTCCTTCTGTGTTCTTGGCTCCTGCCAAGCCGCCCTTGTTATCGACCCCTCCTTCTCATCAACTTCAGGCCACTACGAAACCCAAGAGAGGACCATTAGGGCTAGATGAGTGTGCTTTCTGCCATCAGAGGGGTCATTGGAAGAACAATTGTCCTAAAAAGGGACGTCAGCCTGCTCCGTCTTCTCAGACACAGTTCCTAATATACAGGTTGTTTAGAAAACTTACATGAATACATTACTGAGATATATAGAAGTCTAATATACATAGGACATTGAATCCTAATCCGAGAAGAACACATATTCTCACACCGACTACTAGATATGTAACTGCACTCAACACTTGTACCCAAATCCATGTAACATAGGTTTCAGCTAACGTATAACTTCCTGGACATCATCATTTTGTCGCCATTCTAATGGTGCAAACTCAGATAGAAAATGCATATTGCAGGTATTTACGATGCACCACCATGAATACGTGACATAATACTAACATGAAACACAATTTTCAAAAAATATAAGACACGACGTGGGAGATGAGCAAAATATATATTTTCATATATTTATTGTATTGTCATATTTAAGGATAAACAATTATTATATATATCATGAGTATGAATATATAATTCAAAAATAATAACGAAATGCAATGTAACACTAATTTCTAAAGTCTAAAGGAAGAGAATAGGTACAAATTACATTAACATGGTCAGTGCCTCCGTCAAGGGAGGCCCAAGCATCTCATCACCCTACGCGAGATCATGTGCGGTTTGGGGCTGATCATCTCTCACTCCCTTGGGGTGGCTCCACTTTGACTAGCGCTAGACGAGAGAGAGGTCTCTACTGTGAGAATATGCCTATTCAGTGTTTCCTTTTAAGATTATAGAACACTAAGTCCTAATCCTAAAAGGAAACACTGAATAGGCATATTCTCACATCTACAAGACCAATTTGAACAAGATATGTGACACCTCGTAAGTTGTATCACACTTGCCCACTGTAACTCCTTCGCACAACTCTTGAGGGTGAACTGGCCACCGAGGCCCAACTCTCCTATAAAAAGAGGTCTCCACCTCCGCAAAAATAAACAAATAAAAACCCATCTCCACTACCTCTAACAAGCTTAGAGGTTACTCTCTCTCTCTCTCCACCACCGATGGTCTGACATGATCTTAGTACCTACAATGATTCCTGGTGGGCCCACAATTTTCCCACATCAGCAACGACTGACCACACTTAGTAATAAGACACCACTTTCAATAACCCAGGCAATAAGCCTCTTCCATCCTCCTACTAGGCCCCTTCTAGTAAAGTTACACTATCTATTTATTTAGACAACGTTTGGTCCATGGTATCTACTATACTCCGCAGCGGTGGCCCAATGTTAACACTCACTCTTTAGACCAACTGATTCAAAGCCAGGTCTTCTCTTAAGAGAATTACAATTCATCTTCAACTAAAGTTTCTAAGAAGTGCCAAGCATTGCTGCAAACCTTGTGTATATTGTGTGCTTTTGTGAGATTGGGAGGTAGATGCTGCCAGTGACATGACTCTCCCTAACACATATTACTTGAGGGATTATGTAACTACAACCAGTTGTAATAACACATACAATTATTATTTTTTATTTCAAAGAAAGACATTTCAAATTAATTTTCTCCCAAATCAAAGCTATTTTTAATTTTAATTTTTTATATTCAAAGATCATATCTATACTGTTGAGAAAATTGTAAATCTAAGTTATAAACCAGCGCTCAAACATACAAGGCTCTTCATACTCACTTATGCCTTCCCAAAATTCACTTTAACGACGACACCTTCCTTATTTGCACTCCGAGACTCTGCCACTTCGTTAGCTCCTAGAGCCACATCTAATGATAGACATCCCTCAACAAACGTCCCTTGAGAGGATGTTGTCTCTCCGAACACCATCCTCAATCTTCTACATAAGACCTTTGCCAATTTATAAACAGAACTAACGGGTCTGAATCACAAATTCAAGGAATTTTCTTTCTTAAGAATCAATAAATAAAAATAAAATCATCGGTCATATCATATTAACAACTCTATTCCCATAAAATTATGTAAAAACTCTCTTCAAATCATTCTTCAAAGCATTTTTTTTTTTAAAAAAAATTAAACGAAAAACACGTTCGTCATATTAACAACTCCATTTCAATAAAATTATGTGAAAACTCTCGTCAAATCATTCTTGTGAGTATCCCGACAAATCTGGATAAACAGCCATAGAAAACTATCAAGTCCCAGAGACTTATCCCTCTGACATTCAAAACACTGCCACTCTAACTTCCTCTTCATCAAATGGCCTCTCCAACCATGTTGATCTATTAGCATCAATTGGAAACCAATCCAACCCCATCAACCATTCCAATGACACGAGTACAAAAATGAATGAGAGAAAAAAATCTCATTAACTATTTGATTATCCCTATCCAGAACCCTCCCAGAACATACCTCCAATCTTTTTATGAAACTTTTTCCTTCCCATTTGCCACCCTATGCTGGCTATCAAATATCATGGATACGAATATTTTCTAAAGAAAAATCAATATTATCTAAAAGCTATGTTTAAATAGTATATGATTCATTGGTCACTTGATTGTCATATTATCCATTAATAGTTGTTTTCAAATTTACTTCATAGAATTTTAAGAAATTAAACGAGCTTATGTAAAATTTGCATCTACAACTTTTGTACAACTACATAAGACGCTAAGCATTTTAGTTAAAAGGATAAAT